ACTTGGCCTTGTTGAACCTCATACAGGTTCATTTAGATAAAAAGCAATTAAGAGAATAAACTAAATACAGTCCTAGAGCTGAACAAATTTACACGGTTGTTGAAAAATATTAAGGAGTTCCCTTCCAATTAAGTGGATGCCTCTCACAGAACAGGAAACCCCCCCAGCAACAGGCGGGCCCGAGGAGCACGCGACAGTAGCTGCCGTGAATGATTAGCACTGTCAGCTAATTCGAGGCATAGGAAGAGATCTTAAAGTAGTAAGAGAAAAAAAGTGTATGGGGGAGAGGAACTTTCCTGGATTAAGATCCATTAAGTATAGAGCAGGAGCAGAAATTTCCAATTGCTGCAAGTGTTGTTAAAACCAGAATAACACCCTAGAAAGAGCAATTCATATATGCGACTCACGTGGATAATCCAAGCAATAATATCCTCCATCCAATCCCAAAACTCAGACACGTACTTTGATGAATACACCACATTCCAGATTAAGGGAAACGTCTGGCCATACTACTTCAATGCTGGAAACCAGAGATGACCAAAGTGTAGCTGGGGTGGGATTAAAGGAACAGCTCTGAAGTTTACCATGGCAGCTATAAGACCTACAAATAATTACTGTCATGAATTAGCGCAGAATTATTTGACTTGCTCCTAAATTGTCATGGTTTAAGTTTTTAAACTGACGCTTTCCCCACAACATACAAACCTTTGTAAGATGTGCAACACTCAGTTACAAGTGGTAAGGAGAAAGCAAGGTGGGAACTTGTTCTCAAAAATTTGACCTTCCTCCCATTTTCACAACTAAATGCTGGGGCCTCTGTCTCCCTCCCCTCAAATGAATCCACCCCTACACTTATGACTAAAATTAATCTTTATAAACCCACAGCTTCAGGCTCATCTCAAATTGCAGCATGCTAGCAAAGCTATTATTCATCAAAGACGGCACATTTTGAAGTGTTCTATGTCAAAGCCGAGTCAATACGTTTTTCAGTAGGGGGTCACATTCCTGTTTTCCTAGCCTGCAGAGTGACCCTTCTTGATTGAAAGGATCTTTTTGCATGGAGGAGTATCTGACACAAACCAAACCAATATGCTACTGGAGCTTTCCAGTAATGACAGCAGGATAAAGGAGGCCTTTGAAGTTCATGGAGGAGTAGGAAGAGGTGTTAATTTAAAAAGCTTGTCAGTATACCCAAGAGCAGAAGGAGAGCAAAGTACCAATTAATAATTCACACTTCTATTCCACATGTTATCATAGTATCTCAAAACAGTTTGCAAACATTGATTAAGTCTCACGACATCCCCCTGAAGGAGACAAGCACAGCTGAAGCTCTACTCCAACCAGCCAGGATGTCACTCTGGGAGCATTTCGTTTAGCCAGTCTATGCCCCCTCTTCCCCATCTGTTAAATGGCGATAATGACACTATTATACAGTGGTTCAGAAGCTTAGTGACTTCTAAATCAACACATTTTTAGATGGAAAAATAGCACACAAGAGCAATCTCGTATATCAGACTACACTCAATTACACTGAACCACATTCAACATAACACAGCTAGTGGGAAGAAAACCCTCTATCTAGATTTTGTAATACCCTACAGATTCACTTTGCTCCGTCCCTAAGTACCCAGAGCACTTGAGTTCTAGTTAATGACCAGGATTCTTGGGTACTGTGTTAACATGAAACTCATTGTAATTACAGTAGTTAGATCTGCTGTAGAAAGAATTGTGAAAAATGAAAGACTGTCCACAGTAGCCTCTAATTCTCAATTAACACAAAGTAGTTGGTGTGTTTGGAAGCCAGGACAGACATACCCATAGATGCAGACTCCAGAGGGAATCGTCATTTACATTCAGATGGGAAGCTGAGCGCATTATACTGTTTAATCCTCGCTTTGAAAGACAGGTACATGAGCATCGTCCACTTACAGATGGCAAAATGGCAACTCAGGGAGGCTCTGAACTGCCAAAGGGCAAAGGCAACACACACTCCCCACAGCCAGCATTTCACTTTGGGAACTCCTCATTCCAACCCTGTACTTGGACTATTTTTTTTAATAAAAAAAGCCCACAAACCATCACTGCTCTGGTCCTAATGAGAGAGAGTTCCTTCTTCCTTGTTTGGGGCTCTTTCATGCATAGAATCAGACAGAATTACTTTGCTTAACACTCTTACTAATCTGACTTTTCCAGAAGGACCAAAGATAAAGACAAAAGTAACGGCTTCATGAAATACAGCTCTTTTCTTCTCCTGAGCCTGACAGTCACTTCCAAAAGCAGATTGTCATGACAACAAACAACCTGGAGGCAATCCAGGCAATTAATCTGCAGAGGAAGCAGTCATCCCAACCTTGGAAAAGAACACTGCTGCTTTAAGCTTCAGAAGCCAAAAAAAAAAAAAAAGAAAAAAAAAAAGAAACCCAACAAGAAACCTTACCACCCGCATTAATCTTATTAGGCTGCGTTAAGCCTGTAGTGAAAAACAATTCAGCCCTCGGCACGGGGGCAGCAGCGTTGCTGCAGCAGGAACACACACCCGCTAGTCCCTCACCAGCCCTTTCCTCCCCCCCAGACAGTGTAGGGGCAGGCCAGACCCCCCTCTCCGAGGCTCTGATCTGAGCAGAGCTATGTTCCCAGGCTGCGACGTAGCCCAGCAAGCAGGCGAGTTACCAGCATGACCCCTTCAGCCCTCACATATGGAGCCAAAGGAGAGAGCTCGTAGGTTAGGCAGAGGAATGGCACAGAAGAGATTGTCACGTACCATTGCTATAAACCATTGCCACGACCATTGCTGTTGCATGTTTTCCCTCTTTCCCAGTGAGCTGTCAAGAATATTTATCACCATGTTAAGCTCAGAATTATTTTCTCTTCCACAAGGGACTAAATCATCAGTGCAGTGAGATATTAAAGTCATTCTCCTTCAGTTTCTGTAATTTCTTCTTCCTTCATGCCCTGCTTTATCTCTCTTCATGTGTCTTGTTTTCTATGGGCCCAAACACATTGCATCTCCCCTGCAAATATCCACCATCTCCCATTTTTTGCCTACTCTGATCTCTCAGTAGTAACTCAGATATGAAAATGTTTAGCAGCTGATGCCAAATAACATAATTTGTTAACCTCAAGTCATTCATACATACTTCATGTTTTATAAAACACTATGGTATTAAGTTACAGAAAACAAAACTGAGGAGCACTAAATGTAGACTTATAGCATAAGTTAAAAAGAAAAAAAATGTCAGAAATTGTGTTCTGAGTTTCTCACAAGACTCAAAATACAACAATTTTCTAACAAAAATTCTCTTCCCTGTCCTCATCCTTTTCTTTAAATACAGAAACAAGGAAGGGTAGAAATAAATTCTTTCACTGTAGACTTGTCCTTCAGTGAAACATGCCTTTCAGAAAGTAACTGAGCAATGAGGATCTAAAGCTTTAAGCGTATACAGATTTACTCATCTGGTAAATAGACAGACTGCTGAACTACTTCAAACTGAAGTTTTATTATTGATCCCTCTGGGTCCAATCCATCTCTCAGAAGTCACTGAACGGATTCTCAGCAACTTCAGTGAGCACTGGATCACAGATTATAAGCACTTCCTGCAAAAGTGCATTTTTATTAATCTGAAAAAGATACCAGTCTTCTGAGCACTGAGAATGAAATGTATGCACGCACACACACTCTACACGTTTCACTCTCATCATTTGCAGAATTAGGAAACCACAGCTCTAGCCAACACGGAGCAAGCCAACAGAATCATATTTTCTACTGAGCCTGTTCCGCATTAATTAGAGTTGGTATAATATTGCAGAATAGAATAAAAACCCTGTGCCTACCTTGAGGGCTTTCGCAGCTTTCTTCATCACTGTTGTCTTGACAGTTATTTTGACTGTCGCACACAAAGCTTTTATCAATGCAAAGACCATTTTTACAGTGGAATCGGGCAGTAGAGCAAAGCAAGGGATTTGCTGCTGCGAAAAGAGAAAGTGAGATCTTTCATTAGAAATTCTCTTACCCAGGCAGTGAAATAGCCGTTAAGCAATCAATGACAATGGGTCACAACTGAACAGTTGGTCAATTTGCTGAGTATGTGGGAGTAACTTGGCAATCAAACCAACCTTGTCTCTCTAAACAGAGCATGCTGAAATTTCTAATTCATGCAAGATTCATTACAATTAGCAGAGATTTAGTCCACCCACAGTTGTGATAAGCCTTCTGTTCGCTTTCGTGAGAGCCCCTATCGTGATCACTGTTCGGTGCTCAGCGTTTGCTCACACTGAAGACATATGGAGGGCAGCACTGCCCACCATAAACACTGTCTGTTGCTTCCCATTACAACAAACTCAGTTTAGCTCAAGTTTCATGTTATAAGCCAACAACCCTTGCTGAGAACTGCCAAGCAGTGGTTTATTTACCTCTGCTTCTGCCTTTTTCCACCTTCCCCATTCTCCTCTCTATTTTGAATTGATACAATGGCAATGTTGACATTTCTCAACTTCTCAGTGTTTGAATTTCAACTCCTTTTTAAGGGTAATATGCACATTCCAGTAGCACCCAGAAAATCCTTTCACATAAGGCCCAGTGTTGCACACAGAGCAAAACCAGAATAGTATTTAAGCAGACGCATTTAGGTAGAGCAGTCTTCTCACCCACGCCAAACCCAGCAGTAAATATGCAGTAAAATGCTATGTCTAGTATCATTTAAAGCTTCAAGCAGTGCAGTTTTCACCACTTCTCCTAGCAGATTACATCACAGCTTCAATGCATCTCACTGCCAAGGTTTCCTTGATATTCATCTTAGTTTTCTCTTTCCTAATTTCATCCCTCTACTCTTAGCTATAGCCCAGCATACATAACTACATAATCCCTCCTTGAACAGTGTTTGCAGCCTTCATATACAGCACATATAGCCTCTTCCAACATAGTCATCGCTTAGCTGAGATATGCATAATTTAGCAGTTTTTAATATCTCCTCATAAATCAATCTCTCTGTCCCTTAATCATTTTTGGCACTCTCCTCTTAACTCCCGCCAGGTTTTGGTAATGAGGTGACTGAAACGGAATGCAACTTTCCAACTGAAAACCTCGGAAAAGCTGTTTAGATGCCTTGTCTGCTTCAAAGTGCTTCTCTGCCACAATAACAAAGGGGATTACAGTTCCCAAATACTAACTAGTTTCCTATTTTTTATTCTTTAAAGTAAGAGCTGCCTTTAAAGAGTCTTCAAAAAAAAAAAAAAACCCCCATAAAACTTTAAAGTCTGTCCTGCATATAACCCACAGTATATATAACAAACACTCTCAATTCCCCCAGCTCCCCAAAAGCGCGTTTATCATGAACATGCTAAAACTCCTTTGGTCTGAACCTGCTGCACATTTGCATAGCACATTGATTTTCCAGGTCATTTTAGGGCCTACAGTGTTGTTCCTCTACATAAGCAAAGCAGTGACTAGACACTTGAATATGCTAGAAAATAACAAGTGGGTGCTTGAACGGCATAGAGAAACGGGGAGATCAGCAGCATGTTATCATCAGCTGTAAGGTCCCACTGGAGCTACACACTACAAGCTCATGGGAAATTATGTCATTCATAACCAGCTCCATGAGCTGGTGCATTTTCAGTTGAGACCTGCCACTTGTCAGTCCACCACCTCAAGGATATCCAAAGCACTTTTGTCAAAACTTCTTTCTAGTCCACTTGTTTAAGCATAACCCAGAGTCATTTCCTTAGCCTTCAATCTTCTTTCTCTAGCTTCACTTGCTCCGCAGAGGTGCTATCTCCCTGCCACAATCCTCCCAGGGCCCAAACCAGACTCTCTAGGCCAACAACGGATGGCACCTTAAGAGATGTTCATGCTGCGGGGAAAAGCACACAAATAAGAAAGGCAAGTCCTCCAAGAAGCAGACAGTGATAGATCACTGTAAAGATCACCCCTTTTGTTATCTTTGAAAGCTGGTGTCTGTTGTCCTCCTCCTGACCTTTAAATGTCATTAAAAGGAAAAACTCAGCGTGCTCCAACAAGAGAATGAGCAAGAATTTGCTGCAAGCTTCCGCCTACACACCCATGCTTTTACCAGCTCCTGGTAATAGCAACAGAGCTGCTGGATCGAACATAACCTTTCCTTACTGCTATGATATATCCCTGCTAGACTTACAGATACAAATGGATCTATGCAGCCACATGCAGGGGGCTTAGCCCAAGTCAAGCAGTACTTCAGATGATCTCTCTGCTGTGATTTCCCTGCAAGCTGCTGAAGGGCAGCTCAAGCTAGTGCATTGGCAGGCATGTCTGACTTTGAGAACCTCCCTCTCCTTCCAAGAACCTGTTTCACTAAATAACCCTTTATTTGCTTTTTTGTTGTTTGAGAACATGTATAAACAGAGAAACCTAAACATGCTGATGAACAAAAGTCATATTCTTCAGTGGCAAGAAACAGGCAAATAAAAATTAAATAATTTAAAGTCATACTTAATATTTGCCCAATTTGATTTACATTTGAGTACAGAGAACCTGTTCAAAGCAAACATGCAGCTTAAATCTCATTTCAAAGTTACAAAGGGGCTTGACGTATGTATACAGGCATTATATACATGCATGTATACAGGCATTATATACAAAACAAGACTGAGCTGGACCTTAAAAAAAAAAAAAAAAAAAGAGACTGTCATTTTCAAAGTGAAAAGCACAAGGATCATCTGGGTTGTAAATGACAGGGAGAATATTTGACTTGGAAACTAAAGGCTAACAAATGCTTCCTTTCTAAGTAGTACTAATCAGTTGAAAGAAAAAGAAGCGTCCTGGCTCGCAAGCAGGCTCATACTTACTGCAGTTTTCCTCATCGCTGCCGTCGGGACAGTCCTCAAAGCCGTTGCAGCGGAAGCGGCCAATGATGCAGTGGATCCCGCTAGCGCAGGGGAAGAACGTGGCACCGCATTTGGATTTGGCTTTCGCTAGGAGAAGACATAGACAGAAGAGGGCAAAGATGAAGGAAACAATTTACAAAGGTTAGAGATCCTTTTGTAGCAGTACAGCTTAGGGAGGCACCGATGTTAAGTGCCTTCCAAGCTCCCTATGGCTTGCTTTCAGCTGCTTTTAAGTTTTTTTGCGAGGTTTCACTTGCTTGGGCTGAATTTTTTCCAATTTGTATGATTTCCAGAATGAATGAAACATTCAAACTCAAAACAAGTCAAATGACGTCTCAAAACAAATATAAGTTGCTCAGTGCTTTGGAGTACAAGTTTGTAAATTAGGCAAGCAGGTACTCCTAACTGTCCCTTAAAGACCCACGTGAATTTGACCAACTTAGAAGCACTGGAGGGAAAATATTAAAATAGAGGGTCGTACTTCACAGAAAACAAGAACAACTATCTCCTCTTTGCATGGAAGTCTGTTGTAAATGTCACTGCCCCAGGCATAAGACCAGGAGACAGACGTCTAAGCAGGTCCTCAGGCGGCAGACAACAACCCCCAGAGGCGAAGGTCTAGCTGGACTAATCGTAGCCCCCCAACCTGCAGCTACATGTCATGCTGAGTCCACAAACACTAAATAGCAGCAAAAGTCTAGATTTTGTACACCACCAAGCTTCTCTTGCTTGCTCAGAGAAACCAAACAGTGAAGAGCCCAAGGCAGACAGAGATAACGAACATGGCAGCAAGTTCAAAGAATTTGGGATCTGGAGGCAAACTTCGGTAAAGACAGGTGTACAAAGAGTAAGGAAACATCTGGAGAAGGAAAGGAGAAATACAGAGATATCAAGCGAGTTAGTGGCTTTGTGAGAATAAGAAACACAAGAGACCTTCATTAAAGTGTTTTTCAGGCTGCAAAAATCAAACTCAAAAAAGAAAATGCTATGATTAACACTGCCTTTATTCAGCACGATTTATATAAATTTGGGTGCAAAAGGAACAGGAGTTACATGAATTGCATCTCTTGCTGTACTTCTCTCCATCATCCATCATACAGTTCTTCAGGACAGAAACTACATCTATTTCATAGTACCAGTACAGCTATTCATAGAATACTAAATACTAACAACAACATCAAAATGTGTTTAACAAATGATTACAGAATCTCATTATGATCTCAAGTACTTCACATTTTTTACTTCACTGCACAGCAACTCTTCATGGCAAGAAGAGAACACTGCCCTCGGCTAGAGTGATGTGGATGCTTCCACCATGATGCTCAAGGCTAGCACCAGTTGAGTCTTGTGCTATCACCAGCCTAGAACAAAGCAACTCCCAAAGTAAAAAACAATTTAACGAGATGTGGTTAGATTTTTTTTTCCTCCCTTTTGCTTTTTCAAATTAGCACATGACATGATGGACCACATCACAGGATGCTGAACTTTTCAGAAAGTCCACTCTAAAGCAAAGCCAGTCACTGCGGGAAGAGCATACTGGTAACTGCTGGAAGGTGTGTACGGTGCAATGCAAACATGCAGTAATACCATGCACAGATCATTGATGGGAGAACACCAGAAAAGAAGCCAGCTCCGTAACTTGCAGGCCTTTTGAGTAAATGTTTCCTACTCCTACACCAAATCTACAAGATGTGTTTACAACTCGCAGGTTTTGAGATGTGACAGATCTGGAGATCACAGCGACAGGCAGTCTTTTTATGTAGCCATATGGCACATCAATATGCCAACCTGCGCAGTTTTATAAGGCCAGGACAAGGTCAGGGACAACTGCGGTACAGACAAAAAAAGTATATCCAATAGGGACAAATAGCTTCAGCATTAATTTGGAAGGAATCCTCTCTTCCAGAGTTAAAAACTAAGTGCAGCTGTAGCAAAGTCGTCTTCCATCACTCAGCAGAGTGCATATAAACTGGTTTAAACCACAACTACAGTAACTCTCGCTTGATTTAGTGTCCTCCAAAAGCAAATTCCTGCAGTTCCTCTCTTACATGTTTTTCTTTATTATACCAGTAGTTTTCAGTTAGAATTATGAAGTGTAAAATAGGATGTACAACTGAATTTCACATATTCAACTACCGCGTTTTCTGAAGAGTATCCAAGGTCCACTTGGGGGGAAAAAAGTGAACCATTACTTTGTAGAAAAACAGGTGATAAATTACCCTGAAGTAACTCCAGTGCTTAACACCACCAGAAATGGAAAACCCTCAGCCAAGACATCTGAGCTGCTGCAATTCTTCAAACAACTTCAAAGAGCAACTTTTGTGTTAGAGTTTTGAGGCAGATTGATCTCAGCTAAATAATTCAGTAACCACAAGGTTTGAGGCAGTACTATACCCCAGTCTTTAAACAAAAGCAGCAAAACAAACACCTCAGCAACAGATTCCCGGACCGTCACCGAAGCAAGCAGTCTGTATTAGCATTTGACCAATATTCAGCACACTAACCAGCCAGCCAAGCTGCTGCTGGGAGCGTGTGGTAATAACACAGGTACGTGAAGAGGTGCCCAATGCTTCACATGTTATGTTTCTGTTGATGTTTTTCTTCTTCTAAAAGCTAACATCTTTTCAAAACCATGTAGCGCATTTACATTCCCCAGACCAAATGACTGCCTCTGGACAGCTTCCTTTTTTAGAGATGTCTTTTGAGCCAGAACAGTTCCAAGAGGAGGAGAGGGAGAAGAAGTAAGAAAAGGGGGAAGCAACTGTGGTTTCGCCCCTGCTAACATTTACTGGATCCCATTTCTTCAAGCAGGTTTACTTCAGTCATTTGGGGTCTGAATTCAGAGGCTATCAACTTTATGGCAAATCATATCCAGAGATGCCCTTTGCCATCTCCGGAAATCCTGCCGAATTAAGGCTTCAAAATTATTTACTTCTAAAATTTCTAATACGGACCATCTCTTACTCTTACAGCCTTACTCCTCCAGACAGACTTCAGACTGAGAATCATCAAAACCTGAGCCTCTGGCCCTCTGAAGAGCAGAAGTCATGTGCCTGCACTTTCCTGACCAGAGCTACAAGCGGTGGCCAACGCCGCAGGAGCTCCGTTTCAGATATGACGGACAACACGTCACAGCAACCTCAGCTGTCCTGGCCCCTAAGGCAAGAAGGCCCAAAGCACATCTGGTGCATTACCTTGAGCTACTGCAGTAAAGCCATAAGCAATATTTAATGTTTGACCACATCTGGAGGAAAAAGGTGCTGGAATGACCAGGAACAAAGCTCAGTTTCTGGAAAATGTACTCTTTCCTCTGCCCAAAGCATCCTGATACCCCATCAAAAAGAGGGAGAAACCATTCAGGACACTGATTTAATGGAAGTATTACTTAGATAGCTATATAACATTTAGTTCAACATTTTCTCCCCAGACCTTTTCCTATCTCCTCTTCCTCTTGAAACAGCAGCCAGAGAACAAGAGTAACTGTTTATCGAAAGAGCACATACTAGTAACCACAGACCAAAACCAAACAAGAAACTAAACACCTTCAAATTATCTCTAAGTTTCCCTTTTACATAGTCCACTGATTTTCAGCTTTTTTTTTTAAACTCAAGGGAAGGAAAAAACAACAAACAAAACCCTAATGCAATGCTCCATATTTGGAACAGACATGATACATACACAAACCATTCCCAATTCAAACTTACATTTACATTAGACACCCCGAAAAGATAAAATAGCATTTCAAATGCCATAGTGATTCACTCGTCACACAGCTAAGCATTTACTAGACACAATTCTCACTCCCAAACAGAACTCAGTTTTCCCAGTTCTAATTCCAGACACAAAATGCATTTCTCATATGCTGTGCATAGATGCAGGAAAAATGAGAAACCAGTAATGGCTTAGTCCAAGCCATGTCCCCTGACTCTGGAGAACTCCACTGGAGAATTTCTGCTTTATTTTCAACTGACATCCTTCTTGTCTTCTGGCACAGTTTTCCCAAGGTTTTCAAGCAAGTGCTGTTTGGTCATTGCTCATAAAGTTTCTATGGAAAGCACAATCATTTCTTCCTGAGTAGAAACGCACCTTCCCATTCTGCAATGATCTCTGGAGATACCCTTAACATGAAGGGGCTATCCGTTTTCTTCAGGTGTTCAGCACCCTCACAATTAACAGATATGCATACCAGGATCACGACTGCCTGTAGCAGATCCAAGTCATGTGCTGCACTATTCACAGCACTCCTCTGCAATTCCTAGTCCCATTAAATGACTGTTACGAAAAAGGTTTTCTTCTCCTTTGCTCATCATTGTGTCTTCTAGTGCACAGGTCTCAAGTTTCCAGGCAGATCTGTATGTGAAAAGCTTTGTGTTTATTTAACAGCAACTACCTATCTGGCTCCTTCAGTGACTTCAGCCTTGGTAAGCTTTCAAGGACAGCATTATCTTTGCAATCTATATCCTTCTGTTACATTTGGCTGAAATGGGCTCAGGGTAATCAAAAGTTACCGGGATATCAGGAAATGACAAAAGAGAAGTTAAAAAGGACACAAATGCATGTGGATCATCTGACCTTGGTGTTATAACCAGCTAAAGAAAAGGGAAGGGAGAAGCTGGTTGTTTTTAAATGAACTGGCAAGTCCTCCTGAGCCCAGGTCTCCAGAACCTAACAAACTGAGACACCACATGTTGGAGGGGAAGGGGTAAGGACTGACGGACACACTTGAAATACAGCAAGAAATCACACAGCAACTTACAAAACTAAGTCTAAAGAAAGACTACTCAAATAGCAGATCCAGTCTGGATCAAATTGCAGAAATATAGCAAGTACAAAAAACACCCCAAATAAACTGACATTCAACCAATTTGTGAACCTATGGCAGAAAAGGATCGATTCATTCCAGTTCCACACTTCATTTGTTACCTAGTCATGGCAGAAGCAATCCAGGACTGAAACATTAACACGAATCTGTATCTACATTACACAAGAGGGAATTGCCATGGTATTTAGAAAGAGGTGTCGGTGAACCACCAGGCACTAGAGGAGCCTCCTTTGACTCCATTAGCCATGGGAGGAAATTGCTCTTC